TAAAAAGAGGGAAATAAACACTAAGATATTATTTAATTGCTATACTTAATGAAGGTATAGCAATAAAAAAAAAAAAAAAATTCTTTTTATAAATTACCTTAACCTCCTGTGACCTTTTTTTATATTTTGCAGCTGATTTTCTACGTATTATCAGCAAAAAAACTCTAACATATTAGAACATTAGCTTTGTTTATTGTCATTCTTTACAATGACTCCACAGCTCAAGAGCATTAAGTGAAAAAAAGAATGCTAGAACTGTAAATATACAGTCTAATGTTTATATTACTATTTTCTTAATGTATTTATTACTGCTTTCAAGGCTGCACTTTAAACAAAGTTTATTTTTATATACACTCATGTACAGTATACAAACTGACAAAATAAATCTGTCTAAGTCTCTCTAAGTCTAACTTTTAAAACAAGTTAGAGGGGACACCTTTTTACCATGGGCCACCTATAATTTATTTTAAATTTTAATTGAAGTATTTTCAAAATATCTTGAATACTGTCTTTTCAAAAAAAAATACACTGACAGCCTTTTATAGGGGTTAAAAGTGGCATAAATAAATGTTTTTGAGGAAAGACAATTATTATATAGATTTATATAAATCAATTCTTCAGTCTCATTTTATAATTAAGGGCAGGGGTGGGTAGATTATCCAATAATCATACTCAAGTAACATGGATTCATCATTTTTAGTAAGAGCAAAAAGTAGGGATCCGATGAAATTACTTAAGTCAGAGTGAAAAAGTATAAGCTAAGAAAGGCTATTCATGTACTGAATAACTGATGCTGGTATTTTAAAGACTATTATATGATAATCAAAACAAATTATGCAATTGAAAAAATAACAAATCTAAAAAAAAAAAAAAACACAGACACATATAAGCAGAAGAAACACTTTACCAAATTAATTTTCTTTTCAATGTAAAAGTTATTGAACCAATTCTCATGGTTGGTCATATTTACATGGTAGAAAGAGTAAAGTAACTCTAGTGGCAATATTTACTCCTCACTATAAACGGGCTTGACCTCCAAATCTTTCCAGTAGGTTCACCAGATATAAAGTTAGCTTGTGTTCAACAAAGAAGCACAAATTTTAACATAAATATTAACTCTGTCCCTTTGTCTCGAACTCTTTTGTTTAAAACAACCTTGTTTGTTATTTTCTGAAGTCACTCATGTGAATAGAGTAGTCAAACATTTTACTAAAGTATCAGTCGTGATATTTCATAAAAATATTAAGTGGCAATAAAATACCGCCAAATGTTTTGTTGTCAAAATGTTAAGTAAATAAGTGAATAGAACTAGTAACTACCCACCTCCAAGCATCTATAGGGGTGATGAAATTACATTTTTTTTTATTGGTTTAGACTTCTTATTTCCCCACACTGAAATATTAAGCAACTCAAACATTTTTCACATTAAAAGGAAACATCTGTTACCACCGAAACTCCCATTCAGTATATCTGAGGTTTTTCTCATGGTGGGAAATGATATCAGCGTGTAGAAGAAGCTGTTCTTGTTTAAAGCAGAACTTTAAAAGATTGCTGCAACACATTATTGCCAATTCTTCAGCAAGTAAAGCCACTTTTTTATACAGATTTATATAGAGATCTTTTTGTTATAAGGCTCTTCTCCTGTGGAACCAATTACCAGTTTTGTTCCATGAGGCAGACACCCCGTCTACTTTTAAGGCTAGGCTTAAAATTCTTCTTTTTAATAAAGCTCATAGTTAGAGCGGCTCAGGTTATCCTGATCTATCCATATAGTTATGCTGCTATAGGCTTAGACTGCTTGAAGACATAGGGACCCCTTTTCATCATTCTGCTCCAGTCTATCTCTATTCTGCATTATTTTTTAATACAACAACTTTATGCCCTCTCTGCTTTTTCTGATCATAATAGCTTCATTTGTTCAAATTCTGTTTGGCTGGGACACCATCCTGGATAGAAATATCAGCTGGGCTGCTTGCATCAACACCTGCAGTAATAGATGATAAAGTTTGGACGGTTTTTTAATGTTTAGTCTTGTGTCTCTACTAGAAATATTATATATACAAAAACTGAGTTGAATTTCAGCAGTATATAAGCAAAAAGGTTTCTGGAAAAGAAGTCTGATTGAAGCTATTTAAAAAAAAAATCAGAGCAACAGCTAGACCATGTTGTTTATTTATTATGCTCTGCAGGCTTCTTTCCAATTTTACTGCTTTGTCTTTGGGGTTCAGCATCATTATAATTAGGGGTGCTAGGGGTTAGCCTGTCTTACTGTTTGATAACTATGAGATGGCTTTGAGTTTTTATGGCGTTAAACAAAATTAAAATGAAACAAAAAGAAAATTGTTATTGCTTTAGTTTAGTTCAATCTTTGTTTTTACAGTGATGCCATAAAATGCATTAGCATTTCCTCAAAGATACCAATATGCTAAATGGTATCATTTACTGGGGGTTTCCAAATGGTTTCCAATCTTTTTCTAAACCCAAATTTCTTTATAGGATGATTCATATAGTAAATCCCAGGTAGATTTATAAATACACAATCATAAGCTTTTGGTATGTTTTTTATTTTTTGGTATGTTTGCTGTATTCTAAAACCTAGCCAAACCTTTATGTTGTTACAAATCAAAACAATCCTCCTACTAGGTTTTATGATCTGACATTTAAATTATAACCTCATGATTATTTTATAACTGTCAGATTGCTTACCGTTTCTGTTTTTAGCTAAGTGATGGAAGTCTACCTAGAAACTAATTTGATTAATAAAGGTAACTAAGCAAGGGACAGATTTTGATGATTTATATTATTATTATTATTATTATTTTAAGTAAAGGCAGTGGCCTAAGGAATAAAAGGCAGTGCCCTAAGAAAACTGCCTAATTATGAACATGTTTGTACTGAAACTGTAATCTCGATTAAAATGCAAATTGTAGTTGACAATAACAATTGATTTAATTTTTTCCATGGTTTTTATACAGTATTCACCTTTTCATCCAGGCAGACAGAATAAAATCATAACAGAGCAAAAGAAGGAAGAATTATAATAATAAAATATTTGTTACCCATTGTTTTTCAAGAAACCAACATGTCTTTTTTGCTTGTTCTTTTATTGTTAGGTTTTGTTTTATCTTAAATATATGAGCTTATCTGTTGAATTTCCCTAAACCCTGACAAAGAAGGGGAAGAACAAACCCTGTCACTTTGGATGAGGAACTATGTCAAACAGACTTCATCTACTTTAAAAAAAAAAAGGCATATATATATATATACCGCTAGTGAATAATGCAAAAGGAAGGACAAACCTGGTACAGCAAACGACAATAACATCCTCAGTTTGGTGACAATTAATCATCTAACACCTATCTTAGTTTGAGCTGTGACCCAGTTTCAGACTAAACTCACAAATAAAAAAGGCTGTTTGACTGAACCGGACTGAACCACATGCAGTGTTTCCAAACATTTAAAAATATGTTGTGATTTTAGGTTGCAGTAATGAATTAAAAAGCAAGAGGCTAGAAATTCATTCTACAGGTTGAATATATGTAGCAATACAGTAACCAGATTATCTTAAATCTGGGTACTGAAGTGGAAGTTTTCCCTATTAAAAATACACTAAGCTTCGACAAACATCACAGCGGTCTAAACTAGAACCAATGGAATATTTTCAATGGATTTCCATTCAAACATTTGACTTTAGAAAATGAATATATAATAGCTTCTGCATTTGGACATTTTATGCTATGAACATGCAACAAAGTTTGTAAACCTTTATTTGGCTGCCATTAATCAGCTTTAGTAACTTCTCGGAGGTCATTGTCTTTGGTTCACATTTCAGTTCTCCTTTTATCTCTCATGAGATAAATAGCATTATTGCCCGCTGGTTACTTTATGGTTTCTGTCTCCTCAAAACACAAAGGTGAGATTGACTCTGAGGTTTTGTGAAAATCCGGTGTTCTTGCAGACGTATTTATACTAAAGCTTTCGTGTTTTTGTTTGCTTTTTTTTTTACTTATTCATTGGGATTTTCTGTGATAGACCAAGACAAAGAGATGCCTTGATTTGAAGGGGAGAGAAGAAAGCAGGTTGCTTTCTAAAGCTTGTATTCATATAAAATGCCTTCATGGAAAAGTGCAAGATGCAAAATAGTACATGTGGTGGAAAAAGGTAATTTTGCACATCTCCCTGAACATTGTGGTAATGGGGAATCAAGTTGTTGGTGTTAAAATGCTGTGTAGATGCTTCTCTTTGACAGAGACAGGAAAGGTTGTCTGAGTTAATGGAAAATATAAGCAGCTAAATACATGTTAGAGACGGTAAAATGGTTAAGAAAGCTGGATAGCTGGATACAATTGCAAAACATTTTTTTAAAACACATGGTCCCAATATATCAATGAAACTTCTGGCTCTTATGTGACTAAATAAGAAAAAGCTGAAAAGGAATTTACACTTTTTTTGCTTTAAAAATATCCCGAATAACTCATCATCTAAGAAAAATGTCTTTTTGCCAGAGAAAGAAGAAGATACCAAAAAAAAAAAAAAGAAATATTCTTTGTGAACTGTGCATTCCTGTAAGCTGTCGTGTCTCCTGCCGAGAATAATGAGGCACTTCCTCATCTGCAGCCGACATTAGAGAAGCTGTTGCTGCTTCGCTTGCAGTCCAGCAACTGCCTTTCATCTAGGTTTCTTTTTCTCCTGCACCAACAAAGAACTGAAACTTGTAGAAAGTCTCAAAAGACCGCTTGGCTTATCAAATTTATTGAAAGCGAAAGAGTTTAAGGCCATTTGCAGGTCTTTTCAGCTATTGCATAAACAAACAGGGTGGAGTTCAAATTTTACTCAGCAGCTTTTCGAAAAATTAAAAGAGACCAAGTGTCTTAGATAAACAGCATTAGGAAATGTAATATCTTTAATAAAGCAGACGACAAAGATAATTTATAAAAAAATACAAAATATATATTTATTGCTTATGCTTATTTTAAATGTAAATGTGCAGCATATGTGGGCTTTAAAAAACTATACAAACCATAAAAACTTTTAAAAATGTTACAATTGTTAAATATGTTTAAGTTCTCAGTACTTTCCAGATTGCATATGAAGCGTCAGCGTCCCTTCTGTTGTCAGAGTCTGTTTGAGCACAGGACAGTCACCTGGACAGGAAGTGACCAATACTCTACAAGATCCTCTATCACTTAGAAACCTCCTTAAAGTCTCATCAGAAAAGTGGTTCCCCTCTTTATAACCATCCAATAGTAGCAGAGTCTTGTCGGACTTGGCCAGAGCAGTCCTCAGCTCCTCTGCTGATACCTTGTTAATGAGAGACAGCTGAGTTCTTGCTTCCTCAAACAAGTCCCCCCTCAAGGCGCTGCAGTTCACATACAGAAGAAGATCCAAAAAACTGCCGTCAAAGAATTTGGGAGCACCATCGGTCCAAGATGAGAGCAGGATATTGGCTACGGTTGTTTTCCCACTGCTTGAGGGCCCTTCGAGTAACAGGACTTTACCAGCTTTCGGGAGTAGATCCTGGAGTCTCACATGTAGGCCCTCACTAAAAAAGGAAACAGCTCTGTAATCCAGTATTTGATAAACAAGTAGAATTATAAAAACTTCGGCTAAAGCTGTCGGTACAAACAGTTAGTCTCATAAGACAACTGTAAATACAGCCAGCAATAACAAAAAAGGTCCTAACATTGATCCATGACGGACACCACACATTGCAAGAATTTCTAAGTGAAGATAGTTTAATTTAACAAATGTATGCAGTTCATTTCATTATTTTGCCGTTTAATACCCTCGTAGTTTTAGTCACTTTGTTTTAAATCTGCTACTAAAAACAAATGACTTTTACGCTTTTTCTTAACGCATTACTGATCTACTGCTGCACAATGTTATCTACCAAAACAGGGTTTGTTTGGATTTAACAAGCTCCTTTATCGGTTTTATTCTGTAAAAGTCAACTGGCATAAAATTGGATCATAAAAATGTAGGATGCAATAATTAAATACTATTGATTTAAATCTTTAGCATAATTTTATTAACTATTTGGGGAGTGGCGGCCTAGTGGTAAGGGCATAGATCTTGGAATCCCGTCGTTCTGAGTTCGAGCCCCACTCCCATAGACTGCCACTCTGGGTCCCTGAGCAAAGACCTTAACCCCACACTGCTCCCCGGGTGCCGCACAATGGCAGCCCACTGCTCCCCAGGGAGATGGGTTAAATGCAGAAATAAATTTCTCCAATGTAAGATCAAAAAAGATCTATTTTTATTATTATTTATCCCTATAATTTCAGTTGAATACTGTTTGGGTTAATCGTTGGTGAATTGGTAAAAAGTTGAACTAAGCAGATTAAATATATGGGTTAAAAATGGCAAAAGTACAATTTGAACTTTGAGCAGTTTTAATTTATTGCTGTAATTGATAGATTTACTGGAAATTAGATCAAAACAAAGGTTAGTTTGAAATGATCTCGCTGGGTTTGGAAATATGTCTTTGTGACTCACTTGTTTTGCAGCCTGTGGGGCAGCTCCTCTGCAGCGAAATTATCACAGTGGCATCTCACCTTTGTAGTGAGGGAGAAATCAGAATAACGAGCTTTCAGATGTGACCTCAGGTTTTCCTCTGTGTGACGTGAAGAGAAAATAAGCTCATTGTTAAAAGAGAATTAGCACAATGCGAAAAGAAGCATCTAAACATTCCTGTTTTACTTCCTTTTTGGGCAGATATATTCATATAAATGTGACTAGGACGATGGGATTTTTCCCTAGACAGAGGGAGCATTGCACTCAGAATCCCTTCATTCAGTTTTGACATTTTCATCTAGATTTAATATTTCTAAGAACATCTACAGTCATTCATATTAAGGAATTAATCTTATTTACTTTTGTTAAAGTTTCTCTTTTAGTCTTTTCAGTAAATCAGTAAGTTAGTAATGAAAACAGAGGCTCAAATAAGCCTGGATAACATGAAAACACATCATTTTTTATAATATACAGACACTTACCTTCAGTAATAACTATTTCCTCAAGCTCTCTTTCTTTATCTCTTTTTAGGCCTGAAAGAAAACAGCATTATCAAAAAAAAGTAGGATACCTATTCTGCTATTTATCCAATCAGTTTCAGAGTCAATGATTAACAAGGAGTTCAATCACAACTAGTGTGAACATTTGTGTGACAAACATCATCAGCAGTTAAACTTCAGTTATGAGGGTGCTCAGACTTACAGGCAGTGGCAGATGTGGAGTTCTCCCCATCATCAACTAGACAGTTCCTGGTGCTGGGACTTCTGGAACCTATAAGGCAAGGGAACCTTTAAGTGAGTGTATTGGTACAGAACTTTAAGTATAGATATTTGTCTAGAAACACGAATGCAGAAAAACAATCGGGGGATGGTATCTTTGCCTCTGAATGCATGTATCATACTGGGACTTTTTATTAGATAAGACATATATTTTTTGTTTGCTTCCCATATATTTCTCCTGGAACGTTGCAATCGAAATTGAAAATTAGTTTAGGGACAAAATGAAGCACTTACTGGAAATAAAATGACTCGCTGTAGTCAGAGTAAAGGCGGAATTTTTCTTAATTTGTGTGTGAGAGCACAAATTTTCTATTTGAACACCAATAAGCATGACAAAGCTCTTCTGAGTAGCGCTAGGGAGGCTGACATTTCCTGAATATGGTCACCCAGAGATTTTGATGCCCGTAACTAAAATATAAATCTCTTATCACAGCTTCCTGGTCATTTATCTGAAAGGTTGTGTAATAATTGTAGAAGCGAAGTGAAGGGGTATGATATATTTGATAAGGCAAACATGTGCTTAACCAAAAAAATCACCCATGCATTCACAAATAACTGTGAATTCCCCTTATATCACCGACCAAACCTAAGCAGGGTGATTCCAAGCATGAAGTTCTTCAACTTCAAAAACAACACAAAAAAAAGCCAAGTCATGCCCACATGACAACAAACATTGCGGATCACATGTCAGCGAAGTCACACAGATTTCATAACAAAACAGGTATGGATCCGAATTCACCGTTAAAACACATTTAATCAGACCTTCCTCTTTCTGGAGGAAATGTCACAGATTGCATGACAACAGCGTGCCTCGCTGAAATTTTGCCGGGTTTTCTTGCCACTCAGCCTTTTCAACTTTGGCATTTTATTTTCTGTGGGAGGGTTGAAATGAAACAGGAATATTTAAAATGCTGAGTAATGAGCTAACAGTGATGGCTGGCCACTTGAAGGCTGAGAATGGAGGCAAACTTTATGTCAAACACTAAAAATGTCAGAGAGAGAGAACGGGATTTTACTGAACAATTCAGCAGGTTATGGAGCTAAATATAGACTCAAACGAGGAATTAAAGGTCAACCAAAGTAAAAAAAAAAAAAAACTCCACTAATACTTTCCTATCCCACCAGTTTGTTGTGGGTATTTTCTTTCAGGTATAGCCTAACTTGCATATCATTTTTTCCTTTTACTTTCTTTCATAAACTGTCTATGTTTTCAAAGTTATATTAAATTTCCCTTTTGTGGAAGAATATTGTGCTTTTCCTTTAGGCCTTGATCATCTCAGATGCTATTATTTTCCAACTATCCCTTTCATTTATCAACTGAATATTTATTCCTTGTTCATGATTAGAGTTATGAGATTTATAATGCAGTATAAGATGATTTTATTTTATTTGCTGACCAACCTAATAGTAGTGAATATGCATCACAATAATCATTTAAAACATTGTTTGCATTGTGTGATTCTTCTCCTCATGATGAATGGGTGAACAATTAATTTGGGCCATCTAAGCATCATTTGAGTCCTGCAGAATGAGGCCTGGCTTCTCCCTTCTGAGCTTCCAGTCCTCTGAGAAATAGATGCATTTCTGATGTTCTTGGACAGGATCACACTGGATGTATCAAATACCACCTCTGCTGTCTTTAACCAAGACCATGGCTTTTTAAATCCATGTTGCTAAACAGAGCTATTGATGGATCTTTGATTGGGTTTGCCAGAGTTTTGAACCATGTGCCGTTGCTGGCTGGAAAACCTAACTCACATACAACCTAATCACAGCGGTTTTTAATTTAGTATCCAAACAGGACTCAGGTTGAGGAAATCCCCTTTCCTGAAGTGCTTAGGTTTGTATCAGGAACAGAAAATGTCGAATGGGACATCATTAAATGTATCTTTCTTCAAGAGATACTTTTTTTTTTTTTTATTGGGTTACTGGAATTAATTTCAGATTTTTACAGTGAATACATTATTAACCCTTTACATGGCACTCAGCGAAATAATTTGAAAATCAAAATTTCAAGTCAAGAGTGTTATTGGAGCACAGAACATGGACTTATAACCAATGTAACATTTCATATATACATATATATTTTCATGGGGAAAATCAAGGTCAAAAACAGTCAATTGCCTTAATAGGTTAAAAACAAAACAAAAGCAAAGGTTCTTCAATAAGTTTATTCATGGGAAACACTAACAAAGTGAAAGGAAGGCATTCTTTACTTTTCTAATTGGCTTATTACCTTTTTTATTTAGAATGTTTAACATTTTTACTTTTTAACTTAACTTACAGTATTAGTTTTTTGTATCTTAATCTATAGTAGTTAAAATATCATTCAAGGTTTCATCTAACTGGTCAAATGCCAAAATCATATGTACAGCCATGTAGCAGTATCTTTGCTGAATGGCTGGAAATAATTCTTGTACTTTCAGACCTCACTGAGGGACATAGGGGAGTCCATTTGTAAAGGATGTGCAAGTGAGCAAAAATGGTAACTTGCACTACTAAGGGTTAAGCCACTTGTGACTTACTGAAGAAAATACAAACTACTTAGGAAATAAAACGATTCGGTTTTGATTCTGTTTAGTGAGTACAAAAACGATTAGAAGAAACAAGCAGTTACCTTTTTTATGTTTGTAAGTCACCATTCCAACACCGAGGGCAGCTAACAGAAATCCAATACACAACACAGGAATAAGGACATCGTTTTTTCCATGAGGGGAGAGTATCTCATCTGTAGAAAGAAAATATAGGGGGAGTGCTTTTAACATCATAGCTGAAGTTTAGCTAATACATGTTGCAAAATTTTTGTTTATGTCCAAACATGTTTTCAACCACTTTGGAAAGAACCAAATTTTACAAAGACGAAGTGCAGCAGACTTCCCTAAAGTGGTCAAGAACAAAACTAATTGTGGCTATAAAGCAGAGGTAGTTGAGACCGACCTAACTGTATTTTTTGCTGAGCATAAAAACATCTTTTTCAGATTACTTTTACTGTTGTTGATACTTTTATAGTTTCCCCAAGCATTTATTAGATCCTCTGTACTTTAATCTCACCAAGTTCCTCCCCATTATAGACTAAATTTAATATTTAATCTTTAAAAATAATCCTTCCAGTAAAACTAAACCAAATCAAACACTACAGAGGAAGAAAAAGAAAATCAGAAGGTATCTTCAAATTGTAGGCGTTTCATAAACGCCTACAATTTCTTTGAAAACGGGGGAACGTCTCGGATCTCTGGAAAAACTGTAGGCAGGTTGCAAAGATCACTTTGCTTTGACTTGCTTTGGAGGAGCTTAGAAAATTAACTGAAGATATAGATACAGGAAAATAAATGAACACAACAGGAAGCTGCAATACATAGCAAACCACAGAGGTGGTGGCATCACATTTCCACCTGTTATGCTAGCTAGTAAATATTCTATAAAAAGATTTTTTTTCACTTGAAATTGATTCTGTTTCCATTTAGTTATTTTACAGAGACGGTTTATGAGTTCGTGTGAATGCCTCTTATTATATACTCTGAGCATCATCTTCAAAGAAAACCATGACAGATGTTAGAAATGTACCTGGAATGTGAAATGTAGCAGAGTAGCCATCTTTGGTAAAGTTACATGTGTAATTGTTTTTCTCTGTGGAGCTGACTTCAATGTGACTGGTGACTTTGAATAGATTGTCTGGCGCTGGTTTAGTTGTGGTGTTTGGATGGTGTTCCTGCAAATGTCCATTCTGCCACACAACAACAGACTCCGGGTAACCCTCAGACTGGCAGGTCAACACCACCTTATCCCCCTCCGCTGTCGTCTCAATCCGCTTTGTGATCGATTTATATGGAGCTGAGAAGGAACACGAAGATTAGCAACATTTTATTACAATAAAAATCTATTCTTTAATTTCTGAATGCAGAATTCTTACAATATTTGATGCTTTTACATACATTTTTTAAATGATGTTATAGATTGATAAGGGCTAAAAGATATATGTTTAAATTTTTTATTTTCTTGAGTTCCTTAAAAAGCCGAATGTTAGAAGTCGCTTCTAATTAAATAGCAGTGTTTGTTGAGGGACAAAACTTACTTTAGTTAATATTCACAATACTTAGAAGAATACCAGAATAAATTATTTTGGATTAAATATACATTCTTGAAATCCCATCTTGTAATCAATAACATATGAATTTCCCAAAACCCCAGAGCATATTCCAATGCTGTGTTTGAGTTCAACACTAAACCTAGTTTAGGACTCTTGGGTCTTGTTTTATAACGCAAAGGTAACATGATGTTACCTTTTTTTTTTTTTAAGTAGTGGAAAGGCCTTTTTTTTAATGGTACATTATTCATTAGTAACTCTAAAATCTAAAATTATAATTTGGGATTGGATTATGTGGTAAACGAAAACTATCTTTTTCAAATGCCATTTAGTTTCTAGGAATGCATCAATTCTAGAAACTCCAACTTTTTTTTTTACTTTTGAAGGCAGCACAGGAAGTATATGCAGAAACATTAAGTATTAAAGAACAATAATATTTCAAAGAATTATAAATTCCACTTAAAACATCCCAAGAGGTAACTTTGGCAATGTTACAAACACAAACTTTAAGTCTTTAATCAGTCTTTACATGTACTGTACTTGTAGATAGATACCTCTGAAGATCTGCAGCAGTAATTGCAGAGAGAAAAAAACATTCAAGGGGTGTACAGTAAAAGTGTTTCTGCAAGGGACTGCATCTAAATAAGTCTGAGGCTTTTTTCTTTACCAAACTGACTAATGTGTTTAGTTTCATTTTCAATCTGAGTTTACTTTAACTGCCCAGAAATGACCATGTGCAGCAATGGTTGAGCAAGACCATTCCCAGAACAAAAAGCCCTGAAGTATTTAATGAAAAAAAACAAAAAGAATGCAAACTGTTATGGATTCAAAGAATGATCTTACCTCCAACTGACAAACCTATAGTTTTATAATCGTTTCCTTCTGTTGTTTGAATTAAACACTGATAGGTCCCCGAGTCAGTGATCCTGAGATCTGATATCTGTGAAGAGAGAGGGAGAGAAACCATTATATACACTTGAGATAAGCTATTTTAAATAACAATAATAACTGGAAAGCTTTTTCACTCTTCAAGAGTTTACTGCAGCACAAGAAAACAGATTTGTTGAATGTGTGGCTCTGTTTAAAGAGAAATTTAAACAACAAACTGCACCTTCTGGTGGGAAAATTTGACTCCTGTAGCAGTTATTTCTAGCAGCATACAAAGTTGATGACAGGTTATATCAGAGAGCCCCAGTTAAAGAAATAACATTTGGTCATCTGACTGTTTTAATGTAACTCCATTAGAATGAACTGATTCACTTCCAGCGAGCAAATACCTGTAACTTTGCCCAGCCGTTTTTCAGCTCATCAGAGAGAAGCTTCACTCGACCACGGTACTTCGGAGATGCAAAGGACTCCACGCTGTCTTCCAGTCGCATCACTTCCTGCGGGTTGCTGGTCATCCAGTGCCAGATAACCTTCAGGCCATTCTGAGGATTTTCTGGTTGGGAGGAAAACTTGCAGCCCAGCACAACATTTCCTCCATACTCCGACATGTATGAGGTCTGCTCTGCCTCCACTGTAAACAACGCTGTAGGAAAGTGACGTAGTAGAAGTTGAATAAAGTTGCACAAAAAAACAGCAAAGGCCACTAAACCTCAGGCTTCATTCATGTGATGAATTTGCTTTGCAGATTTAAGTTAGCCTTCATCCCAAGCTGACTTTTTTTACTACCCACCTGCTAGAGATGGCTGCAGGAAAACATGCAGAAGTGCAATAATGGTCCAGTCCATTGGAATCTAAAGGAAAGTGGGTATAAGTGCAAACAAGATGAAGTATTTTGGCCACAGAAGATCACAAGTCACTGTGCAGATGGTCAGCTGAAAATAATGATGACCTGCATGACACTTAGATCATCAATAACACATGATGCTGAGTTAGCCATTTTTATCTTTGATCAAAACATGACTAAGCTCTTTCTGTTACAAAGCAAACTCATATTCTATATGTTTGTGTAACAAAACATTAGGAGACGAGAACCAAACCAAAAACTACTTTTGTGTTTAACTCTGAAACATAATCAGTTTCCAATCTTTCCCTTATTGAGTGATTCATAACCAGAAACATATTTTTTCACCTTTTAACAGGATCTTATTAGGAGCACAATGACAATGAGAAATATGTTTTCTATGGCAATATCAAAAGTTTTCTGAGCAATGAGCTTTTTGGCATAAATAACTTTTAGAAAATGTTCTTTCTTGTATAAAATGTTGACAGGAAAACTGTTTTAGTAGCCTTTTTTTTTTACACATGGTTCTACAATAATAAAAAACAAACCACACAAGTAAAAACTGGATTTTAGTGGGTTTAGTGGTTTGGTACATGGGGCATTTTAGAGTATCAGACACTAAAGAAAGATAATTTGAAGTAAAATATGAAATTTTGGTACTACCACAATCATTAAAATTTATTTTTCTTTTATATTTTTGAAACTACAATGACTGTCTTATATTGATAATTGATATAGCAAATTACACCCAATACTACATGATCAGATTTTAATTTTCTACTCTTCTAAAACCTCAAAAATGATTAATGTGAATACTATACCTTTCCTACCCACACCTGGCATAATCCCATAGTTTAATTAAAAATACTTTTCTTTTTATTTGTTTATGGAACAAATTTTAATCAGCTTACAAAGTTTTATAAAAATATCTTAGTTTTTAAACATGTAAGGCAAAACATATGAATTTCATGATTTATTTTTACGTTTTGAAATGGATCAAACCCATAATTGAAATATTACTTGAAAGCCACACTTTATATTATATGGCTTTCTTATTAGGAGAGCTTATCAAAATAAAAGCATAATATTCGTCAAAGCTAAGCAGAGAAATGATCAAGCTTAATACAGATAATGATGATTGATAAGCTGCTGTCCTACCTGCAGATAATAGTACAAGCCTGTAGTTTTCATGTGCTCTCTCCTTATTCCTTTTCGCATTAATGTGAATTTTTTTTTATCAAACTAATTTTGATAAGGAGGAGGAGCTTCCTCAACATAACCGAGCCCTTAGTAAACTCAACCCATGTGGCTTCGTCTGACTCAACTAATAATTTAAACAGTTAAACAGAAACAAAAACCGATTGATTCTTGTTCTTCTACCATAATGTCTCACACAGGCTACACATTTTTTACTCTCTCTCTGATTTAAACGGCATAACTTTAAGTAGAATCTGTCAACAAATATTTAAATTCCTTTGTTACATTTAAAGTTAATAAAGAGATGTATGTTTGACAAAAACAGCTTTTTTGCGACATACCGAAAACGAAGAGAGGAGGGTGCGCAGTCTCCACGGTAACTGGCGGTACCCCAAAATCAAAACCGGTTTAAATCCGATTACGTACGAATTCCGCAGTTTAAGTCCGTGACAGTAAAAAAACCAACAAACAAAAACGGCTAAAACAAATAAATACAGATGTCTGATGAAGTTACAGGAGTAAAGAAATGAAACCCAGCTGTTTTATCACACACTTTTATATAGAGGTCTGTGTTTTCCAGCGCTCAGCTGAGTGGCCGATTTAATCGGTGACGTCACGCCGAGAGTATTTATAAAAGCTTATTACCGTAAAGATGACAAAACGTTTTTTTTTTTTTTTTTTTTAATGAAACCTCATTATAAACTGTCATTTTCGGCTGCTCATCAAAAGGAGCAGCCATAAGTTACAATGTTATGTTATAAACCGTGAAGAATACTATCTCACGTTAAAATATAACAAAATCATTACATTACATTTTTATTTTTTTTACCTGTAGCACTTTGAGATGTTTTGATGAAAAGCGCAGCATAAATTAAATGTATTCTGATTATTCTGATTATTATTATTATTATTATTATTATTATTATAAACAGTGCACAGCTTTCAAGAATAAAGAAACTTGAGCAGAAATAGCCACAAGCATTTAGTTCTGTGATAAAGTTCTGTGATAAAATATAGACAAAGGCAAAAAACTAAACTTAATATCTGAGACATTGGTTTTCATAAAAGTAAATGCGACAGCTTGCAACACATACCCTCTCTGCAGCCCCCCTACACCATGAAAGAAGCTAAATAAACTATAAACCAGAATAAAGTTCCAATCAGTTCTATAATAAAAGTTTTTTTTGTCCAGTATGGATTTATAGATTACAGTTGTTTTATACAATTATTTTTAGTTATATAGAAACTTTTTTTTTAAAAAGCAGTCTAGATCCCTATCAGTCAAAAATCCAATTAGTTTCAATCCGAAGCTGCTGATTTTATACCAGCTTCAGCAAATAGAGCCATGTTTATATTAACCTTGATCCAGTGAAACTTAAAACAAAAAATTAACTAATCTAATTAGAGATATGAAAATATGTAGACAAAATTACCTTATTGTGATGATTTTGCTACACACAGTCAAGATCTAAATTAAAACCAGTTGACTTTACAAATAATTTTTCCATGCCTTACTTTTTGAATTAAGTGCATGAACCAAAAAATAATTTTATTGATTAATATTGTGTTGGAGTGTAACAAGCTGACTTTGACTGTCCTATTAGTGGAGCTATCTACTCTGTAATCCAGCTATCAGTAGATTAAGAGACATGCTCTCTGGCATATCTAATAAAGTCTTAGTCTTACCTGAATAATAGTAATGGTGCATGGTGCTATTTTCCTTTTCACATCATATTGCTCTGTGTTTGCTACCCTTTAAAATAGATATGAATAGCTGACATTGTCTTTCTTGTAAGTGAGGGTCAGTCAGATGAGCAGCAGTGAGCAACAACATTTGAGAAGGCATTGCTCTGCTCCCATTCTGGCATCTGTCTATAAAAGAACTTTGTAAGCCATTATACTTGTAACCGGCCAAAAAATGTTGTTTTAAAAGCAGAAATAGGATGTATCAATGCATATGATCGGTCACCTTAAACAGATACGATTACCCATTTAAATATTTTAAAACTATATAATTAAGGTCTCTGGTTTAGACTAATATTCAATAAAAAAAAAAAAAAACATGTTCATTTATCCTTTTGTGTAATATCATTAAAAGTATAGTTTTTCAAGTTTGCATTTCTGAAAGTACAGTCCAAAACAACAGCAATATCCCTGGCACGAGACACGGATAAATTCACAATAAAAACTAACGTAAATTTAAAGAAATCTGGGTTCTCCATCTTGGTACCAGTCGAGAGGAATTTCCATCAGTACCATCACAAAAACATGAAGTTATTAAACTGTTATCAGCACATATAACCATAATATTTTTGACAATGGGCCTGGGGAAGATTTTGTGGGTTTAACCAGTGATTTATTTATTTTCCTGTAAATGCCTGGACACAACAATTAGAATGCCTCTTGTCACTACTGTTGGTATCTGCATGCTGTGCTCGATTTCCGAGGCATCCCTGGGAAAGCCCTCGTTTGAAACTCTACTTCCTATGTGACTCAAAGCAGCACCAGGAAAGATTTCATAGATGGGTCGTATGTATAAAAGCTCTCCTCCAAAATTCAGATGTTAGTGTTTCTTTTGATTTTTTATCTTGGCAACGCAGTGTGTGCATCTATGTATCATGAGTTCTAATCACATGAATTATTTCTTATGTAGTTTATTTATGTCAAGCCTGTATTCATGAAAAGCAAGAAAAAAGGGAAGTTGTGCAATTTTCTTTTTTTTTTTTTCCAGTGAATGAGGGAGAGAGATATGTCAGTACAACTGCAAGAATTGCAGTGACTAACTTGGTGACTAATCCAGTCAGTTAAGTCAAAGTGAGTTCTCTTGTTATCTATTTTACAGTCACATTGAAAAGTAAGCTGATATTTAAATGTATGGGTTACCCCTCTCAAAATATTAAAATAATATATTTGAACAGTATCAAACTCTGCATCACACTGATAACACCAAACAAAAAATACTGCATATTTACACCATATATATAAATGCTTTGAACTTCCATATCAATGCACTTTCTGCGCCATGTTTTTCTCCTACACTGTTTACATTTGATCACTGCTGCACTTTATGGAATGGAAATGTTCATTTACTGTCTGAAAAGCTGTACTACACCAACTTTTGTTTTGTATACGCTCTTTATATACAAAATGACAATAAAAGTTGTCTAGGCCTAAGCCTAGGTCTAAGTGATCTGCATTAAGTTCTAAATGAGAAAAATAAATTTATTTTAACTTTTAAGCTCTGGGGAAAAATCCCAGAACCTATTCCCCCTACCCCGTATATATAAAGCAAACATGAAAACAGTATTGAGAATATTTGTAGGAAACAATATAGAGAATATTTTTAGAAAAAAGAAGTCCATCCTGGCCACTCCTACAGGGTGCAAGAGAGAAGGTTACAATTCTGTGCTGAACAATTAAGTGCACTTCATTGACTGATCATTGATATTATCCTTGTTTGTAACATAGAGGGATGTGTTGACACAATGCCAAGATGGAAAGACCTTAGTAATGACTAGAAGCATCTTTTCCCACAGTCTGAGAAGGGTTAGAATGGAATTTCCAAACAATCTAGATACAATCTAGATACAACTTTTCTAAATAGAGAAGGATTATTCAAAAATGAAAAACACATAAAGGGACATTTACAAAACTTCCTAGGGGTGGATGTGTCATCAAATTTACCTGAAGAGCATAATGTGCTGCACTGAGAGATAAAGGGAGAAAAAAAAAATGTCAATCTCATCAGTATATCACTTTATAACATGGTGATTGCTCAAGGTAATAAAAAGACACACTTTATTTTTTTTAATGGTTTTTGTTACGCCATTTATACATATTGATTTTATGCCAACTTTTTCAATTCCTGCTTAATAAATGCTGACAGCGTGGAAGCAGTTATGTGTTTGTGTACCCTTGATGTTGGTGGAGAACAATTCGTTTTATGTCCTAATACAAAAATTCCCACAACTGAAAGGCTTCTTTTAGAAGCTGTTGTCTTTGTTTTCTAACTCCACTACATGTACATAATGTGAAAACTGTTTTTTCTTTATTTTCAAACCTTTCCAGAATAAAATCACATTTTTTCCAGTTTATTAATTTATCTCTTCCCATCATTTCTTCGGTTACCTTTAAGACGTGCAGATTTTCAAACTTTTCAAATTTTAGTTCATCACTAGGGGGAGCTATTTCTCTTCCAGCTCACTGCAGCGCTGCAGTCTACATGAAACTATAAACATTAACACTGGCCGGTAAACCATCCGGTGTGTACAGCTTATAACTTTTGCTGTGATCAAGCATAAGTTGTTGCTTGTAACTGAACCCCAAAACAACAAATTAATTGGTTAATAAATGGAAATTGTTACAAGCAACTTATTTTGAAGGCCTGCTCCGGAAGTAACACAATATGGACTTCCGTTACCAGCACTGCAGCTTACCTAGCTTTTATTTTGATAAACAACCTCAAATCTCTTTCTGCTTGTTATCTATTTCCTCTTAAGCCCGACACCTGAAAGTATTTTAGGTATGTAACTTCTTTAAGTATACACTTGGCCATAAATGATAAGGAACGGATTCAAACAAATTTTTTGGAGAAGGAGCAGGGGAAGCTGTTTAATTAGGTTAGCCATATTAGCCCTCTCAATAGCCAGTTTAACAAAAATAAAAAAGGAAACAAAATAAAGAGGCTACTTCAAAGTCTTTCACGTTACACATTGCCAAACAGGCTTGTTATCGAAATAATTAGCGAATTAATCTATTTGCCGAGGCTAATGTCAACGAAAATTAGACTTATTTACTATGTTGTAGGGACAAGGTCACTATAACGTCAACAAATACAGCCGTTAGTCACGTGAGTAAGGTGTCATATCCGTTACTTGTGTTTTACTTGCTAAATACCTTTCTTACTTTATGTTTTGCTTCTTTGTCAGTTTCCAACATGGGCTTTCTAATGTCTAAATCCATGGATGCAAACTTACAGAAGCAGCAGGAGTTCATGCTTCACAATTCACGGCTGCAGGTAAGAACAGGTGACAGCAGGCCTTCTAAAACTGGCAGTCATTGCTACCCTTTTTCACCTGATGCATCCGTTCATTTATAAAGAAATAAATGAAAAATAGGGCAGGTTGGTGGTGATAGGTTAACATACTATGGCTGTAACTAACGATTATTCTGCAAATTAATAATTGGAAAGCAAAAGATTCCTTAAAGAAGATTTTTTACAAAATTAAACCAGGTGAAATTCAAATTATTCCCCTTGAGGTGTTCTGGATAGAGCATGTTGACAGAATAATTACTATATATATATATATTTTTTATCTTAAAGTCGTAGGGAAGTCTTAATTAAATGTCAAATCGTCCTTGCTTAAACATGTATATAAAATGTACTCTTTATCAGAAAATATTGTCCCAAAAGTTAAAAAATTTCTATAAAAAAAAAAAAATCCTGCCTTAAAATCTGTGGGGGTTTTTTTCATTATTTTATGTAGGCCAGTTAGTTATACATCAGCTTATGCACCTAAATTCGGC